GTTAAGATCTGCTTGTTAAGCATTGGTTCTGAGAATGTTAATGGCCTTGGCACATTTGGTGCTCTAGCATTTGGATTTCACTTTTCTCCTCAAACTCTGCAAAATGTTTTGACATTTTTTCTGGTAGTTTCATTTGCACTTTTTCTGCAAAATGTTTTGACATCATTGTTTGGGATTCTATTTTGTGTAGTTTCATTTGCATTTATGCAGTAAGCCAGTAAATTTTAGGAGAATATTTGTTACGGAACAATGATTTTTGAGAGTTCTGATTAGTAAAACTAGTTCTGCTTGATGGTGGTGCGAACTCTCTGAATATATAGAGAACTTTTACACAAGTACCTGAGCTCTAGTCTAATTACGAAAGAGATCATCCAAATATTTCAGAATTACAAATATTCCATTGAGATTTGTTTTCATTTCAAACTGCACCCTCCCGAGAGAACATTTGTTCTCTTAAATGAGGAGTATTTATTTATAATCTTGGAACGTATAACCGAATCTTTTCCCATTTAGGCTAACTCTAAAAACTAGTTCTCGTGATTTTCCCTAAAAAAAAATAAAAATAAATAAATAAATAAAAAAAGAAAAACAAAGAAATGGAAAAAACTCACATACATTATGCACTAGAGACTGTACTAATAGTGCAGATTAGTTGTGATGTGTGATAAGCTAAAGTTGCTATCAAGAATGATGGTCGATGGAGGTAAGTCGTTTATATAAACTCATCTTTCGAGTTCCATATATATAACTTTGCTGTGGCAACTATTCATTGTACTTACAAGATAACTCCATTTTTTTCTTAGGTAAAAAAGCATTGGAAGCATGATTTCGAATTGCATGTGGTCCTTAATTTCGCTTGCTTTAGGAAGAAATTTGATGAGCGGTACAAGGTAAGTCTCCTATATATGCTTCGATTTTCGGCCATACATTCCTTGTGATTATTCCGTATGAAAAAACAGGTAAAGTGAGTTCTGCAAGAAAATGACTTACTTATACGGTGAAATCTCATACATTTGTATCTGCTATTTCTTAAAGTACGTCATTTTAATATGAAAATATGCATATAGATTAAATAATTATGGATGTATAATGGTTTGACCTATCAGGTAGCAACATTTTTTTTTTTTTCTTATGTTGTGATATTTTATTCGGGATCATCATGTAAAATGGATTTCTTCTTGGGCATGTACGATAATACATCAAGTTTGGATACCAAACACGTCTAATTCATACGTGTAGTTTTGCTATTGACTTATCGAATGATATGATTTATGAAATTATCCACAATTATTCACATATGATATGTAGGTACGTGTCTTAAAATAAACATATCTAAAACAGAGGCCTGTAAACGAGCTAAGCCGAGCTCAAGCTTAGGGTGCTTGAGTTCGAGCCCTTAACTAGCTGAGCCAAGTTCAGTTGTTAAATAAACGAGCATGAAATCGAGGTAGAGTTCGAGCTCGGCTCGTTTATCCCTAATAACGAGCCGAGTTCGAGCTTTGACTAGCCGAACTATACAAAATTATATCGAGCCGAGTCAAGCTCGGTTCATTAACCAAATGGCTCGAGCTTGGCTCGTTTATCAAACAAATTGAGCCGAACTCGAACCTTAAAGAGCCGAGCCAAACTCGTTAATTTAACAGCACTAGGGACATGTATCAATACATCAATTTATTTCTTTTAATCCGTTTGTGTTTTTTGTGTCTTTATGCCCTAAATTAGAAATTACTAAGAGAAAAAAAAATAAACATTAGTTGCTACAATTATACCAGTGAAGATTAGAAATTCGAGTAGATTCTTTATTCCTCTGCACACAAATTATCACATCAGTACATTGATTAGTTTCTGAAGGAAAAATTACACATATCAATAGACGTAATTAATATATACGGACAACTTTTGCCCGTCAATCATCATCAAGAATTTTAATGACTTCATATTCATATATGTAGTACGATCAGCCAGGACAGCACTTAATTATTTCATGTCTTTAGGATATTGGACAAATCCTGCATAAAAACAAATAATGATGAGTATTTATACCAAATATTTGGTAAATTTGCAAAATATGTTCCGCAATTTGGGGCAATTGGCAAATTTTGTACAATAAATTTCGCGAAAATGTTCATTATAATTAACAATCAATATATGGTCAGAAAATGCAAAACTATTCACTGATGTCTGCTAACTTAATTATTTAGTTAATAGAAATATCTCCAATTGCGACATTTAATGGACAAATTTATCATATACCTTTACTCATGGGACATATTTTATAATTTTATTCCAATGAACTTAAATATATATATAATATATATTCATGAAAGTAAGGATCAATTTGGTAGGTCATGATGTCACTTCATGCACGGGCAAAACTAACATTTTTTGCAAAAGTTAATATCTCTACAAAAATTAAAAAGACAATCCTTATTCCTTAATACCCTATCTCTCTCTGTTTAACCCTGTGTTTGCACGTGCAGAAAAGTTTTTCTAAAGTATGGAGACTCCTAGTACCAAAATAGTTCAATTCCAAGATTTTAGTTTGTATATTATCAAGGTGTAATTTTCCCTGAGCTTGCCCGTGTAGGGGTCCCTTTCCAAACAAAAAGGCCTTTTTTTCTTCTCGTAAATTTCATCCTATCCATAAAAAAAATAGAAAAAAAATAAAAAAATTAATCGTTTGATCAATACACATTCATACATGTATATAACTGTATGTATGTGATCCGACTGATAAAAACCCTGCTCACAGTGTTAGAATCGAACTTACCCGACAAACAAAGGTAAACTCGTTCAAGTATGGGAAAAAAAGTAATAGTTAACCTCTTATACGATGAAAACTAGTTGTAAACTACAGTGTTAGCGGATCATATCAGATCTCCTGTTTCACTTTCATGTTTACAAAATATGATATCATCGTTTACAATTACAAGTGTCAGAACGAAGCACAGAAATGAAATACAAAAACAAAAAGTGGAATAGAAAATCTCATTTCCCGATTTTCATTCAGATGGGCAAGTTAGGAAAGGGCCTTTGGATATATATCGTGGAGCCAATCCAAACCAAGACAAAGTCAAACGTAATATAAAAAATGAACAACATAACAAAAAAACTCTAGCATGAGGCTAGAAAATATAAAGCGTGGCTTGATGCATGCAAGGCATTATAACTACTTTTAGGTTTTCATGCATGGATCATCACTACAAATTTTACAACAATTAACTACCTCGATTTTCTCGGCCGGCCTATAATTTACCGCCACGTGTCGTGCGGTACTTGGGGAAGGGAACTCGGCCGCTTTCTATGTACATTATGTCCTCGACAAGAATCTCGTAATGCTTCTTGACCTCGTCTGGGCTCCGGCCTCCGATGGCCCGAGCAACATTGGCCCAACGGTCGGGCGTGTCCTTGTCGAACACGGCTAAGGCCTTCTCGAAGGCCTTGTTCTCTTGAATCGTCCACTTTCCGCTATTGCTACCCGACGAGCCTTGCGCCATGATTTTTTTTATTATTATTTTTTTTATTGTTTTTTATTTTTTTGGAAAATTTGAGTAATTTTTTGGGGTGAGTATGAGTAGAATAGTAAGCATTGGGAAAAATATTGGAGGTTATTTATAAGGGGATGAAGAGGTGAAGAGGGTGTGGGGACAAAGGCCAGTTGGGCTATGTAAAGCTTTTGCAA